TGTTTGCTGTCATGTTTGTTTGTCAGGTTTTGGTCAGTGTTATGTTTTATCTTAAGTCATGGTTTTTGTTTGTTACTTTGGACTTTGTTTTGGATTTAGTTTTCTTTGTTTTAAATACACTTCTTCGAATACACCCTGCTCCTCCCTCCTGCCTGCTTTTTGGGGTCCACCACCATCACGCAAACGTGACAGAATGACCCGACCACCTGGACCCCGCAGGTACACAGCACTGGTCCCTGTTCCACCATGTGCCTGGCGGAGCGCGTCTGCGGCCGACACCCTTTCCCCTTTCAGGCAGCGCTGGTGATGCGGCTGTCCTGTTCTCGTCTCGTCAAAGCCGCGTCTACGGTGGGCCGAGCCCCGTCCGCGTCCACGTTGAGCCGAGGCTCGTCACGTGTTTGTTCGAGCTGAGGCACATTCACGTCGACGGCGAGCCATGCCACGTCCACGCCCACGTCAGGCCGAGCCCCTGTTCACGTCCGGCTGTCCCATGTCCCCCGTTACGTCGAGCTCCGTCCACGTCAGGCCACGCCCAGCCAAAGGATTGCCGTCGCTTTTTGTTCCTGTTCCCTGGCGAGGTGAAGGTCACCGTCGCTTCTTGTTCATGTTCTTCGGCGAGGCAAGGGTTGCCGTCGCATCTAGTTACTGTTCCCTGGCGAGGCAAGCCTTTGGACAACTTTGGGACGTCTGGGATCCGTCCCTTGAGGGAGGGGTACTGTCACGTTTCGGTTTGTGACCAACAGGTGGCACTGTGGGGCTTTTCCCCCTGTAGCTGCACACCTGTTGGTAATTTGGTAATTGGAGCTATAAAAGGACTCCCAGCCTGACCACTCACTGTCGGGTCATTGTTGCTTTGTGCTACTGTCATGTTTGTTTGCTGTCATGTTTGTTTGTCAGGTTTTGGTCAGTGTTATGTTTTATCTTAAGTCATGGTTTTTGTTTGTTACTTTGGACTTTGTTTTGGATTTAGTTTTCTTTGTTTTAAATACACTTCTTCGAATACACCCTGCTCCTCCCTCCTGCCTGCTTTTTGGGGTCCACCACCATCACGCAAACGTGACAAAGTGAGATTGAGGCGGTCCGTGTCCCAGCATGCCGCGGGGCGGCTCTGATGTGAAGGAACGGTCGCGGAGGGAACACTTGCTGTCTTAATTAGCGCATCAGTACATGACCTTTAGCTGCAGGACGCCCTTAGCTGTTAGCTTGGTAACAGCTCTGACAACCTCATATCATCACTGGGGCGTAACATTCATCAACAGCAAAATGTAAAAATCATGATGCTCATCATTCTCTCTAATCATGTGATCATCAGATTAGCATGTACATCCTCATCACAATTTTTTCCACGTCGTCATTATCATTCTCCTCCTCAGATTCCAAATACCATCATCCTCATCTTCATGACACGTTGCTCTGTGTCCGTTTGTCGAATAGGTTCAGAGTGACTTCAGTCTTTTTCGAAATGGAGTGAGTGAACTTCAAAGCACTTACCTGCACACTCGGGGTTCTCCTCGTTAAAATTCACCGCAAAGTCATGGGAGACCTGGAGGGAAGGAAATGGAGGAAGAGGAGAAGTAAGGTGATTGGATGGACCTCAAGTTTCTTTGATGTCTGCTTCAACTAAAAAAAAAAAAAAAAAAAAAAAAAACACTTCAAACGTCAATGTCAACATTACTTTTTCATCCTTTTTTTAACCTTTCTTCTTACACGGGACAATATTTGCTATTGTTGCACGCTCTGTTCATATCTGTTGCTGCTTTATCTGTGTTAAAGTAGCAGTTGTTCAAACACTTAGAATGACTGTGCCATCTGTGCTAATTTCAATGAGCCTGTGAATGGCGTTTGACATCATCTGCTAGCATCGAGCTAGCAGACGTGGAAAATACCTTGTAGTCGGGTGGGATGCGAGCGCCAAAGCCGAACGCTGGGAACATTTTATCACTGAAACAAAAGAAAAAACAGGACAAGCGTTGCGTAGCCCGCTGAACTCAAGACTTCTTTTTTGCGGATTCTCATCAGCAACAATGACTCGGCTCTTAAAAGCTCAGGTGCTAAGTCAGTTTCCTCTTTTAATTTGTTGACGCCTACCTGTCGTAGTCCTGGCAGATCTCGCCCACAGCGACCAGCGCCTTCAGGTACTCGTTGGGTCGGTACGGGTGGATGTAGTGCAAAGAGCAGCTGTTGCGAGGGTCGCCGTTGGACGCCGTGAAGTCGATGGCAACCTGACGCAGGGAGCAGACAATCAGACACCGGGACGCGTCACGTGAGTTGTGATGTGCGACGAGATGTGTGACATGGATACGTTATGTTCGAAAAGGGACGTGATTTGTGACATGCGGTGTGTGACGTGAACTTTTTAACCCAATGTATGACATGATCTGATGTGTGACATGACTATTAGTGCATGGCACGTGAAATGTAATATTGTACATGTGCTGTGTGTGATGTGTCGCATAAGACATGTCGTGTTACACGTGTGACACGCGTGTGATGCTATGTTGATGTGATGAGTGACGAGTGAGGTGTGACATTTGCTGTGTGACGGGTGAAATGTGAAAGCTGTTGTGCCACATGCAGCGGCGTGACAATGCGATGTTTGACTCGTGACATTTGTGATGTGTCACATGGGACTTTGGTGGATGTGGAAAATGTCCAGGATGTGACTGGCAGCGTTTAATGTGCAACGCGACACGGGACGTGTGACCTGTGTTACGTGATGTAATCTCTGTCACGCGTGACGCATCGTAACATGTGATGAGACTTGTGACATGTCACGTGACGCCATGAGACGTGACCTGTGATGTGTTTGTGGGTGGAAGCCCCAAGACTTGCTGATAAAATTCCCTAAATTGCTTTTATCTGCTTTTATTTTGAAACGCCTTCCCCTTTAGCCAACCACAAAGTGAATCCACCATCAGCACTTCCTGTTTGCTGCATTGCCATGACGACACCGAACATTCACTATCACTGATGCCATGATGTGCCAGCATCAGGGTGACCGGTGGGACCGGTGCAACCACAGCCGGGGTCTGTCGTGGTCGGTAAGTGGGACACCGGGCGGCGGGTTGGTGTTGCCTTGGTTACAGTTGCCGTGGCAACATTATCAGGACCACTCCAAGAACCCGGGTGCCGTTGTCTCTTGATGGAATAAGAAGCAGGACGCTGACCTGGATGTGACTTGTGGTGTGTGTGTGTGTGTGTGTGCGCGCGTGTGTGTGCATGTGTGTGCGTGTGCGTGTGCATGTGTGCGCCCTCACAGTAAATTGGATCTGGCAGCCCCCCATGATGTAATCCAGGAAGGAATGCATTTTAATGATCTGCAAACACAAAAAAGAATATAATGTTAAAAGGATTTAAAAACTTTCATCATGCGATTTTCATTCATCAATGGACTCGTTTGATGAGGATATCGACGCATCGCGCACACGTCACTTCACGCACACGCTTCCTGCACATGCTTGTTCTGATCCGGGAGAACCCTGGGATTTCTCTTCCACTTATTGCTATATTTAAGTGACTTCTGACCTCTTTGCATGTCATGTCATGTAAATTTTATCACAAAACGACCATGAAAAAGAAGAAAGATGGAAATAAATAGGAGCAGTGAGACCATGGCGGAGTAGTGGTGGGTGTGGGGGGGTGCAGGGGGGTTCTCGGCGGGGCCACAGCTCCCCTAACTGCTCTGACATGTTCGGATGGACCAGAGCTGGGAGGAAGGGAAGAGGGGAACAATGAAACAAGGAGACAAAAGAGGGAAAGAATGGAACAAAGAACTAACGAAAGACCAGGTCCACATTGTCATGCGGAGGGAAGAGTGACAAAGTAAACAGACAGAGAATGAAAGAAAAGACACAAAACACAAGGAAAATGAAGTCCGAAAAAAGGAAAGATGGTATGGTGGGATGACAACGGAGAATGCGGAAAAGAAAGAAAGGAAGAGGGAAAAGAAGACAATGAAGTCAGAATAAAAGAGGAGGAAAAAAGGATCGAAAGAAGAAGAGATGGGAGGGAGCCGTGGGGAATGAAGGAGAAGGAGAGAAGGAAAGAAGAAAAAGAAAACGGATACATGCAAGAATGAAGGAAAAGAAGCGATGTTCCGAGGAAGGAAGGAGGCAACAAAGAAAGGAGGGGGAAAGAAAAATAATAACAAACAAATAAAAGAAGAAATTGATGGAAAAGGGGCCAAAGGTGTAAGAGAAGGGGAAGGGAAAAAGAAAAGTGTTCAGGAAGGCATGAAAAAAGGTACAAAAAAATCGCGTGAAGAGAAATGAAAAAGGAAAGGCAAAGAAAGACGGAAAAAAATGGACTTACAAATTCCCTATATGCTAATTAGGGAATGAGTGCATGATTCGGAACGCAGGGAATTATTGACTCATTCCTAATTCCCTAACCACTATTGGCCAAACAATGCCAAACCTAAATAAAACCTCGGCCACAGTATATGGATTGTTTTATTGAACTACATCGTCCACCATATAAAAATTCCCAAGGAAGTTCTGTTATTGGCCTCATTAAGGTCGGCGGCTGCACTCATTCTGTCTGCAGGCTCCGCCCACACGGCGCTGGCTCATCCATCCCCGTTTATTCACCAGCTCATTTAAACCGCCAAGGCTTCAAACTCACATTCGCACCAACCGACCAATCGATGATGACAGATCTGCCTCACATTCAAAAGGTCACGGGTTCAAATCTTGGCTTGGACGGAGGAAGAGGAGGAAAAAGGGTAATAGGAAAGAAGACACAAGTGGAGAGGCGGAAAGGGAGGAAGACGAGGGGGAGAAGAGGAGGAAGAATACGAAGAGTATTGTTGACCTTGCACTGGTTGAGGATGACGATGCCGGAGTTCTTGTAGCCCTTCTTCTTCACTTTGTATTTGGAGTTGATGCAAGGCCACTGCACCTACACACACACACACACACACACACACACACACACACACACACACACACACACACACACAGATATACAATCACGTGACCATTTTGCAAACCTGAAAAAAACCTCCAACATGCTTCCAGCTGAATGCTCATTATGTGTGTGTGTGTGTGTGTGTGTGTGTGTGTGTGTGTGTGTGTGTGTCCAGCACTAAGTGTTTTGTTTCCTGTAAACAACTAAACGACTATGTATTTTGTATGAGTCCTGTTTGTACTGTGTTACATGATACAAGCGATATAGTTTGCTCTATTTTTCCTTTATGCAGTGTGCTGAAGTATTTCCTTCTTAGCGGCTATTTGTTAGCATGCTAACAGACCTAAAAAACTCTTGGTGAAGCGACCAGCTAGCTTATTTTGATAGTTGAAGCCATGAGTTAACCACCAACTAGCTTGATTTGATCTTGATCGTTTTAGGTGTCACGTTTTGGTCATTTTTGTTAACGCATCTGTCAACTTTAATTAATTAGCATCCGCGTCCTTTCTGTATGGTGGACATCTTTGTGTGTGTGTGTGTGTGTGTGTGTGTGTGTGTGTGTGTGTGTGTGTGTGTGTGCGCGGGAAGGGCGTTTTACAGGCTGGCTGTTACGAGCTAATTGGCATTTCCTGTCTCATGCTGGAAGCTTCAATTAGCGGCTCAGGTTTCGCGAGTTCAGCATCATCTGAGCTACTTTAGGATGCTGAAGGCCACATGATTTCACCGCTAATGTTATAACAACGTTAGCATGGCATTAAAAGGTACACGGATCAGACCCTGTAGGAGTCTCATTGCGACATAGTCTCATAGCCTTCTGGTATCTCGGTCTCATGTTAAGATTGTTTCGTGGTCTCGTAGTCTCATCGTTTCATAGGTTAATGGTCTCATGGGACCCTAACCTCATAGCCTTATCGCTTCTTGATCACGTCTTGTGCTAATGATCTCATGGGGTTGTGGTATCATGGTCTTGTTGGCTCATGGTATCATGGTTTAAAGGTCTCATAACCATATGGTAACATGTTCTCATGTTAACACTGTTTTGTCATCTCATAGTCTTATTGATTTATGATCACATAGGCTCATGGTGTCATAATTTCATCGTCTTGTGATATCATCCATTGCCTCATGGGTCCGATAGTCCAGTGGTATCATGGGCTTCATGGTGTCACAACCTCATAGTCTTCTGATCTCATGGTCTCATAGTCTCATTGTGCCATAACCTTATCATCTCATAGTCTTATCGGTCATCTCAAGGTGTCATGGCCACAGCCTCATAGTCTCTCATGGTGCCATTGCCTGTCGTTGTCGCAGTCTGATGGCCTCGTGGTATGATAACCTCACAGTATCATAATTTAATGGTGTTATAGTCTCGTTCATTCAGAGCATTATGGTCTCATAACATCATATTATTATATCTTAATGTCTCATGTGTGTCAGTGTATCATGGAGTCTCATGGCCTCGCAGTCTCATTGTTTTATGGCCTAATGGTCCCAAACATTCACAGCTTTGTAATACCATGACCTCATAGCCTCTCATGGCCTCATACAGTTGTGCAGTTGTCAGTGTGTAGCTGTCAGTGTGTAGTTGTGTGATTCGCTGATCCGTTAAATTGCTTCTGCAGCTCAAGTCGAAGACGGATCACAAGTTTTCACGCTTTGGACTCGTTGGGATTTTTAGTTTCCTCCAAGAGTGTTTTTTTTTTGTCTTTCACGGCGCAGCAGTAAGTTTGGAACAAACGACCCCCTGCACTCTGAGGAATTCCGCTATCATCTCCACAGACAGAAAACATCTGCTCGTCTTCTTGTGTCAACGTATGGATGTCACTTTGCTCGCTCATCACGTCTGCTGTTTAAACACACGCACGCCACCTGTGACACACCTTACCTCATTTCATGCGAAAATGCATCCCAAACATTGACTTAACACTCTCTAATAGTGCACTTAAAACGGAAATGAAAGATGCCTTAATAAATATTGAAACACAAACAGTATTTTAAGATTAAATGGAAATCTACTGCGCTTAAAAGTGAAATACAAATTGTAATTTGTGTTTAGGGAGTATATTCTATTGCGTACCACTAGAGGGAGCATGCATCACTTGGAGGATGGATGTCTAAGTGTTGTCTTATAGCTGAGGTCGGGAGTGATTTGATTTGGTATACCTGTCGTCCATCAATGGCACCCCGCATCTCTTGGAAGGTGGCCTCGAACTCTCCGATGTAGTCGTGTTTCCCATTCGAGTCCCAGTCCCACACTGTGCACTGAGGGGTTACACGCACACCTTCATTAGCATCTTATTAACTATTATTAGCACATTAGCTTCAGGTTAGCAGTTGAGCTTTGGTGTGTTTTTACAAAGCTTCATTGATGAGGAATGATGAGATGTGATGTCATCACATCCACATAAGCCCATTAGATGACGAGTGTGTGTGTGTGTGTGTGTGTGTGTGTGTGTGTGTGTGTGTGTGTGTGTGTGTGTGTGTGTGTGTGTGTGTGTGTGAGTGACCACTCAGAAAGGAAGAAATAAGAGTGACAGACAGAAAAAGCAAAAGAAGGAAGGAAGCAAACAAAAGAGGAAATGAGGGAGAAAAGAAAGAAGGAATTTAAGGAAGGAGAGAAGAAAGTGTTGAAAAGAAGAAATGAAGAGATAGAGAAAGAAAGATAAGGGGAAATGAAGGAAAGAAGTAAGGAATCAAAAGGGCGGAAGCAAAGGATGAGAATACGATGATGGAATGAAAGAGGGATGACAAGAAAAAAGGAAAAAGGGAATGGCATTAAGGGGGGAAAGAAGAAGAAAATAAACCAACAGAGGAACGAAGGAACAAAGAGTGAAGGAATAAAAGAAAGAGGAATGGAAGAAAGGTAAGACAGAAAGTTGAAAAATTGGAGAGAAAGAAGTAAGTGAAGTAAGGAGGACGCGAGAAAAGGAAGTAATGAAGGAAAGAAGGCAGAAGGCAAAGGAGTGAGGAAAAGAAGGATGGATGGAGAGGAAGGAAGGAAAGAAGAACAACAAATTGAATGATGGAAAGAGCTGACGTCACTGAACGAAGGAAAGTGATGAAAACGGAAGCAAAGAAAGGACGAAAGCAAAGGTTGGAAAAAAGGGCGGAAGGAATGAAGGGTGGAAGGAAGAATGGAAATGGAGGGAAGGAAGCAAAGAAGAAAGGAGGGAAGAGAGGAAATAAGGAAGAAAGTTCCTGTTTCCGTTCGTGAGCGCCGTCATGTGTTAACGAGCTGTCAGTGTGACGAGGACATAAAAGTGAGTCAATTAGCCAGCAGGCCCAGCGTGCGCACTCTCCTCCTCCTGTTTCTTCCCCCCCCTTCCTAATCCGCTCGACAGTCTTCAAACGTCACATTTGCCCACTTCCACTTCTCACACACTCAATCGTCACTCGAACAGCAAGGTGCTAAAAATAAAATGTTTGCGTATCCATGACAACCACACAAACGCCACTCGGGACTCATTTATTGGGTTCTTTTCAAACCACGAAAGCCTAAAAATACTTTACGATGTTTTAATGACAACGCGACCCACACTTCCTCGGGAAGTAATCACAACAAAACACGCGGTGTGACGAATCAACACGTAAGACGCATGATGACATCACTACGTAGACAGGAAGTTTTCATGAGGAACTCGCGTGTGTGCGCGTGAAGGTACGTTAACGTCGTGTTCGTGAGCGTGTTCATCCTGTATTAGTGTTTGTTTGTGTGTGTATATGCTGTGTGTACGGTTCTTGTGTGTAAATTCGTGTGTGTGCGTACTGTACATATGTATTCGTGCGCGTGTGTGGAGCGCGCGCGCAAGCATACCTGCAGCTTGCGCTCGTGGTCCCCGTTACAGAGTGAGTTGAGGGAGACTTTGAATGTTTTCCAGACAGGATTCAAGTTGTTCATCACGGTCTGAGAACAAGAACACAACAATAACAAAAACACACGTGACGCCGTGGCAGAAACACCCGTACGTGTTAAATGTGAATTGTGTGTGTGTGATGACGTGACTTCCTGCCTCTGTCCTGTAGACCAGCTGCAGTGTGGCGTCCTCATTCAAACGATAGATTTCCAAGAAGGGATCCGACTTACTGAAGAAGTCCTGAACGACACACACGCACACACATCACACTTTGCTACACAAACGTGTAGGTGTCTGTTCTGGACTTTTTCATTTGACTAATTGTTCGCATTAGAGCATTTCTATAGTATATTTCATCAAAACAAATTAGTGGTGAGCGCCAGAGCATTTTAGCTGTGTGCATGACAGTTTCAGTCATGTAAATGAGTGGAAAAAAAAAACAAATTCCAGTAGCGTGTGAGAGTTACCTGAATCTGTGGGAGAGAAATTCAGTGCATTTCAACAATAAATGGAAGGGGACAAAAACAGTCGAGCGTGTGTGAGCATTTCAGTTGTGTATATGCGAAAACTGAAATTCCGTTTTGTGTGTGAGAATGTTTCAATAGTGTGTGTGTGTGTGTGTGTGTGTGTGTGTGTGTTTGTGTGTGTGAAACAGTTTTGTGTGTGTGTGTGTGTATGTGAGCATTTGTAGTTGTTTGTAACCATGAAATATGTCCCTGAATGCCCCTCGTGTTTGTTTGAAGCGTGTTAGTCTTTGTGCGAGTGTGTGTGTGTGTGTGTGTGTGTGTGTGTGTGTGTGTGTGTGTGTGTGTGTGTGTGTGCGCACATCACATATGTTTATGTGTCCATTTGTGTGTGAGCGTGCGCGTAACATCACCTTGTCATCCAGCTTCCTGGCACTGAAGGAAAGCTCGATGTAGTCGTCGTTCCCAGTCAGCTCCTCCGCTGTGATCTGAACACACACACACACACACACACACACACACACACACACACACACACACACACACACACACGCACGTACACATTGGTGATGAGGGGCTCATTATGGAGTAACGATGCCAAGTAGAAAACATGCAGAGAACAAGCTGCTACCCATAATCAAATTCATTATCACCAAATTCTTCTTCATCATCATCATCATCATCGCAATCGTAATCATCACGATGTTCTTCATCCTCTCGTCATCATCACCACAATCGTCATCCTCATGAGTTTCTTCATCATCTACGTCAGCATCATCACAATCGTCGTTGTCATCTTCTTCATCATCGTCGGCATTTTCGTTATCTTCGTCGACATCATCCTCATCGTCATCGTCAAAATCGGCAATATCATCGCCATCATCCTTTGTCAACGTTATCGCCATCATCGTTTCTCCATCATCATCCTCCCCATCATCATCATCAAAATTGTCATCACCAACTTCTTCATCGTCCTCATTATGTTGATCATCATTTTGTCATCATCATCATCATCGTCATCTTCATCACCTTCCTCATACTTTTCTTTGTGATTGCCATCATCACCATCTTCCTCGTCATCATAATCCACATCATCGTCAAAATTGTCATGATCATCACTTTCATCATCAATCGTTATCATCCTGATCATCTATCTTTATCATCATCATCTTTCATCTTCATCATCTTCATTATCACCATCATCGTTTTATTTATCATCGTCATCATCATCATCATCATCATCAACGCATTCTCTTCACCTCTGTAATTATTGTCTTCATGATCTTCATCTGACTGCTTTGCAACCTCAAGATTTCTTGGTTTCCAGTCTTACCACTTTTTGGAGGCTTCAATAAAGACTCTTTTTATCGATGCAAATTCCACACAGGAAGGCTGGGGCCAGATTCGAACCCATGACCGCTTTACTGTGAGGCGGACATGCTCGACACGCGACTATCGTGTTGGTTCTTGATTTTGATTTTGTCGGTGTTAATAGTGTTGATCTCTAGTATGCCATTAAAAGACATTTACCGTGATGATGGTTTTTCCGACGTTGCCTCCTGGTCTCAGTAAAGCTTTGGACAGTTTCCTGTGAGAAATGATCTGCACACACACACGTACGCACACACAAACACATTAGCATAAGCATTAGCATCTCTCATGTTAGAAAGGATCGCACAAGAGAGGAGTCGGCCCATTACCTGTCCCAGCGTGCACTCCACAGCGCCCAAGAAGTCGGCGTCTTTCAGGCCGTTGTAGTTGCTGTTGTTAATGTCATACAGCTCAAAGCGCAAGCGCTGCACCTCTTCAAAATAAAAGTCCAGTGTAAAGACTTTGGAGTAGGATGGGTTGGCGCAGCTGCGCATCACCTCCGTGCGGTCCACCTGCGGTGCGGGCACGCAAAAGGCGCGAACCGTTAACCAGTACGTGTAAAATAAGTAAACAAACACGTGAAAACACAAATACAAAATAAGTCCGAATTGAGTCAAAAAACAGGTTCAAGGTGAGTCAAAACCAAGTCCAAAATCAAAGCAAGAACCAATTTTAGAAACAAGTCAAGAACCAAGTAAATCAAATTAAGTCGAAGATCGTGTTGAAAAACACGTAAAAAAAGTCAAAATCAAAATCAAACAAATGAAAAACAAGTTATAAACCATCATACTGCCTTGTGTGTGTGTGTGTGTGTGTGTGTGTGTGTGTGTGCGTGTGTGTGTGTGTGTGTGTGTGTGTGTGTGTGTACGCTCGCATTTCTTCGGAGCGCAATTCAAGATGTGCACGATTTGGCCATCTGGAGGCTGTGTGAGGCACTGTTCGAACGTGGTTTTATCTGTTTAGTTTTACAGTTAGGGAGATCTAAAACAAAAAAAAAGTTAAAAAAAAACTATACACTATATAATTGAGTAAAATAAGTCAAAACAAAATCAGAATCCATGTAAAAAAAAAAACAAAAAAAAAAAAAACAAATTAAAAACCGCCACTAGATCCCACTTTATAAGTCAAAAAGCATGTCAAACAATGTACAGGACAAAAAAAAAGTCTGAAACAACTGAAGACCCAAGTCAAGAATGAGCAAAGACGAGCAAAAGACACAAAAAAATGTTCAGTGGGGCAACAAGTAACCGCAACATATGTCCATAGACATGTGCGATGCGGTTGCCGTGGCGACCCACCTCCATCCACTGTCCATGAGACTGCATGTTGAGCACGATGCAAGGGTCAGGTTTGGAGAGAGCGTCACGGTCGCTGATGCCTTTACACGTCAGTCTCAGCTCCACTTTGGTCAGGCATGGAGACTCCAGCAGACCCAACGAGTCGCACGCCGAGTCGTAGATGTCGCTCATCATGGTGGCGGGGACTGGACAGCAAGCCTACCTGGCAAAGGCAGACTTCACTTCAACGAACCATATCGTCAGTGTGCGTGCGTGCTGTGTGTGTGTGTGTGTGTGTGTGTGTGTGTGTGTGTGTGTGTGTGTGTGCGCGCGTGTTAGTGCTTATCAGTGTGTGTATGATGTGTTTGTGTGCAAGTGTGGATTTATGTGGTTGTGTGAGTTAGTTTGCTAGTGTGTATTCATATGTGCTAGTGTGCGCGCGCGTGTGTGTGTGTGTGTGTGTGTGTGTGTGTGTGTGTTAGAGAGAAAGAGTATATGTGTGTGTGTTTGGGTGAGGGTCGGTGTGAGTATTACACAAACATGCGTGTAATCAGCTGCTGCACAGGAAGTCATCATCCTCCATTGACAACTTCCTGTCACACGGCAACTCAGGTTACGCACACCGCGATTGACTTGCGGACAGTCAATTGTTTTGGTCTATATACCCTGACATTGACTGGCACACTCTTCTTCAGTCTCCCTTCATCACTCTTCATGACACACCCTCCGAATCGCTTTTCCTTACCGCGTACTCACAATCATAACGTATCACGCATCATAATTATCTATCACTCTTCATCCCTCCTCATATGAACTGCTCATCACTCCACGTCACTGTTCAGTCTTGATCACGCCACATTGACCTTATCACATCGATACCTCCACCACTTGATCGTTCCTCATGATCACTCTTTCACTCTTCATTATTCCTTAATTCATCATTGCCACTCCTCGCTCCAAGTCGCTCTCTGTTAGGTTGAATCTTTACCCCCCCCCCTGCTTTTCTTGATCACTCCGTGTCATTCTTTATCACACTCAAAACCAATTAGCACGCTTCACTCACTCTTGAATACTACTTATGCTTAATCATTGTCAGTCCCGGTTCACACACTCTTATCACTCCTGTCCTCCTTACTTTACATGACGATGCATCGTTCTTCACTCGTTACCACTCACCATAATTCACTTTCGTCCTTCACTCCTTATAATTATTCATCATTAGCCACCACTCCTTATCACTCCTCATCACCACTCCTTGATTCTCTGGCATCCTTGTCAGTCCTATTCCGTGTTGCTATTTATTCATGATCTTTCCTCACCACTCTTCATCGCTCCTTATTACACATTAACGTTTAGACTTCTATCGCTTTAATTCTCACTCATCGGTCCCCACCATTTCTCATCACTCTTTATCACCCTTTCACTCCTCTCCACTGTTCCCACCACTGATCACCCATCGTCACTCTCACACCATGATGCTTCATCCCCAACATCATTCCTCGTCACTTTTTGTCATCTTCATCACTTTGTCCTACTCTTTCATATGCCTTATCACTCTTATTCCTCAATCTTCATCCTTTACTATTTTTCCACATCAGTCATTACCACACTATAATTTTTTATCACTTTGTATCACTCCTGTTCATTCCTCATCACTCTCACTCGGTGTATGAGTCGCACTCCTGATTATTCCTGATTAGTTGTCTTCCTTCTCCGATCATTCCACATAAGTTTCATCATTCGTCATTACTTTTCTATCACTCCTCATTACATTCACCCCCCCTTCAAGACTCCCGCTCTTTGTCATTCTGTACCACTCTTCACCACCCCACTCATCACTTTTCAAGGCTCACACTTCTCATGAATTTGTATCACTTCCATTTTCATTCAAGAACTTTTCAATTCTCTTTCTTCTTCTTTTCATTTTATTTTCCGTGCACGTTTAACCTGAATGTTTTCTCACGGAATTATAGAAAGCCAAAAGCAAAATATCATGGGAGTAGTTTGCCATAGGAAGAGTTCAAGAGCAGCAGATTTCTTTCCCTCAAGGTGAGCCTGGAGGACGAAAGCTTCAAGGTGGTGAAGTTCACGAAAGTGCATGTGTGTGCATGTGTCTATGCGAGTGTGAGCCGAGCAGGTGCATGCTGGGAGCGTCAATGGCGGCCCGCTGAGGCTTTGCGGCGGCTGAGCAGCCAAGCGGCGGATGAACGCTCCCGCAGGCGGAGCGTTGACATCCCGCGGCGGATTAAAGAGCGTCGGTGACATCACAAGCGACATGGCTAATTATTGTTGTCATTCAACACATCCCAAAAGGATTGTGGGTAAACATTTGAACTTATCACGTCCAGACTTTTTGTCGTGCTTTGTAATCAAGAGGACAAGCTAGCAAATTGTAGTTCAGGTGGATAGTTAGCGTCACGCCTCGTCTTCCCCAAGGAAAGCGGAGTGACTGTTCAAAATGGACAATGTTCAACTCGCTCAGAGCTTGAAGCCATTTTCCCACTGAGACACGCAAATAACATCACCAACAAGCGTTTATGTGAATGACTGGTTGAATCCAAATCTATTCCTTAGGCCAAATGTATACCGTCTGCCATGCGTACTTGGAAATGATCATACTTGTTCATGTGAAAGACGACAACAGCAAACTTATGAAAATGACCATGAATGAATGTGCTTCTGTCATGCATGGTCATGTGATAGAATAAAAGAAAATTACCATTCAATGGTCATGTGAAAGACAACGTGAACTCAATGACCTGAAAGACAGCGAATGGAAGCAGAAACTTGATATGACAAAATCATATCGTCTTCGCCGCCATGAGTATGATGAAGACAATGACAATGATAGAAGGTGTGTTCGCCCAGCGCGTGGATCAATAAAGCAGCACACACTGTCACCTGAGCTACCTCCTGACCATGGAAGGTCAGGTGAGCGATATCAAGGTGTGACCACCATATTATAGTTTCATAAAACGGAATGTATGTCCAGTATATAGGCCTGCTAGCCAAACGCTACACCATTTGGATACAACCTACTGTACAAGTTGCGGTGTAAAAGCTAACTGAGACAAAATATTATCAATGCTTAAACCAAGTTCTATCTGCAGTAATTACAGTACCACAATGTAAATATTACAAAAGTATGAGCATTAGCTGTTCACTTGCTAAGTTTTAAAGCGACGCTACAGTATATAGGCTTACTGAATGCTACACAAACTGTTTGGCTTTGTTGGGAATCGCTCCGTATCCACTATGTATCACCCTTAATAGTGAGTTATTCCCGGTATAGTGCCCTCAGGGTATCCCACAATGCATTTTGGAAAGTAGTGAACAACTGATGGACACTATGATTCATGAGGCATAACGCTAATACAGATATAAACGGATATGCAAAAAGTGCTTTGCTGGTCTTTTTTCCCCCCCCTTCAGGACATCCTTCTACACCACACTCGTGTGACAACTTTGGACTGTATGTTGCTTGTGAGGCAAAATTACTAGTGTGCGTTTTGGTGCTACTTGTAGGCTACGAGTATATGACACATGCTAACTACAGTCGTCTGGCCTAATAGTGTTCATAGTGCAGCACAGTTGAGGAGTGAATCCTAATTGTATACAAATAGCCCAAAAGTGGCAGGAGTAGTGAAAATAAACATTACTTGTTCAAGTTCAAGTCAACTTTAATGTCAAATGTGCTACATGTGCAACATACGGCACAGATGAAATTTCATTCCTCTCAACCACAGGAGAGAGAGGAGCCGCTGCGGGTGCCCGCGCCACTATCAAAACATATTGTAAAACATTAATTCTACTAGGACGGTGAATATTACTAGTGAGGAAAAAAAGAGCTTACTAGTACATTGAGCTTAAACTGGGTGTCAAGGATATTGAATAAAAACTCAAACAGCTTTATGGAAAACTAGCTTGACAGCCATGTACTAATAAACTCTTTGTCGTCACCAGTAAGACAATTCAGTGTACAATAGACCAACTTTTACTGCTACTGCCTTCCACTTACATGACATTTCTGCACACTAGTAGGACAACTCCGCTGTGTTAGTATCATGAGGCAAAACTGCTATAAGGTCTCTTGGTCTTACAGGTTGGAAGCTACTAGTAAAAGACACCTGCCTACCAGTTGGGCTTTGTTGTGTTACGTGTGCAGCAGAGTAGTTTACTTGTAAGGTTTAATTGTGTACTAGTAAGCCACAAGTGGCACAAGTAGCGGGTAAAACATGACTAGCAAGACATTGTAATGATACTAGTGCAATGAACTGTCATCCAAGTGCTGACAAAGCGTGTACTAGTACATAAGCTGCATATCAAGCGTATAAAATAAATGCTCAGATGGGTTTATGGAAAGCTATCTTAAGATCCATACACTGATATGCCCGTTGTCCTCACAAGTTAAGCAATTCAGTGCACTGGTAAAATGACTGTGGTGCACTAGTAGACGAACAAATTGTTCCGATATTGCCTTCCATTCATGTACCTAAACAAAATTTGACAACTCTGGCATATCTCTAGGAGAACTACACATTATTAGTGAGGCAAAGCTACTAGTGGGAATTTTTCTATTCCGAGCATGGGACAGGAGGCTACTAGTGCAGCATGGTAATTCACTGGTAAGGTTTAAATGCACACTAGTTAGCCAAAAGTGGCAGTACTAATGGTCAAAACATTACGAGTCATACTGTCGGTCCATTATTGCAGCAAATTGTTTTACCCGTGAGGACAAAGAGCTTTCTAGTGCAGGGGTAGGGAACCCCTGTGCCCTGAAAGCCATATCCTGCCTGTTTTAGATGCATCCCTACTCCAACACACCTGATTCAATTGTTCATGATCATTTCAGGCCTTGACAGAGCTTGCTGATGAGCTGATCATTTGAATCAGGTATGTTGAAGTGGAGGAATTGAAAACAGGCAGGATACGTCTCCCGAGGAACCGGAGTTCCCTACCCCTGTTCTAGTGCATAGACCTTACGTTTCATATTGAGGGTATCAAATAAATAATCAAATGGCTTTCCATACTCATTCACATTCATTCAGTCATTCAATACTACACATGCAAAACCACTGACAGGAAAGAGTGCTTGTTTCTTTGTGAGGAAGAGAATGAGGAAGATAAGAGGATGAAGATGGTGCGAGTGCAGGAATGTCAGACGGAGTTTTGGCATTATTTGTTTTTTTTTTGTTTGTTTGTTTTTTACCTTCAGCGATCAGATGCGTGGGGAAAAATGGAGGAAGGCGTCACAAAGTTTCGGCTTTTGGGATCTCAACTGACATCAGCGCTGCACACCTTCATCCTTTTCCTCCTCTTCTTCTGCTTCTACAGCCTCCCGCCGACGCGCGCGCGCCTTAAACGCGGGGAAAGCCCGCACTCACACACACGCGTCCGTGCGCGCGTGAAAGAAAGAGCCGTGCTCCTGTGGTGTGTGGACGCCCCCTGGTAGGCTGTCACCAAAACTGCACAGTCTGCAGGGAGGCTATCGTGAACACGTTCACTGTTCGATACCCGTGGATGCGCATATTCGGGTTTTGTTCAGTATTTTAATATTTTTATTATTTTTTAGCCCCCCCCCCAAAAAAAAACACAAACAAAAAAAGAAGTAATTTGTGTATCTTGATTTTTAATAAAATGCTCGAGTTTTTTTTCCCAACCATTTATTTGGTGTGCACCGACGTCAAGCCAGCTGCAACAATTGTTCATACTATGCGTGACGTAACAACTGTCGTCGACCTACGAAATCCAACTTCAAAATACCAGCTTATCAAGTAATACATGAACACACCTGAATGTGTCTTGGTTTGCTTTTATTTAGAAATTGGCCCTCGCGGCTGTGTGGACTTAACTACTGTACTTGACATTTTCGACCGGCCCATTAGTGTCGTGTTATCAAATGAGGCACACGTGAGTCCAGCTGTCGTGTTAACGCGGATAAGTTTTATTGAACTTTCCCGATGCGTGTATGCCTCTCAAGTCATTCTCTCGTCTCCCGCTCTCGACGCATACTCGTGACGTAGTCGACCCGCGACTCTGTAGTCTTGTACTCGATAACGCCACAATTAGTATCGATAATGCACATTTGACAATAAAGTTATACTTGACTTGATAACTTTTGAGCGCAGTAGATACCTAACTAATATTCGTGATCTTGTCCCAATGTCCATAGTGTGTAATCGTCAAACCGCATCAATGCCGGAAGTTGTGTTTGTTTTCCGCCATTTCCAGTAGTTGCTCTTGGTCAAAATAAAAAAGGCAACGCGGAAGTTCACTTCCCGTCACTTTTTTGGGGTGGAAAATTGCACGATTACTTGTTGTGGAAACCAGAACGGTGAGTTAAAGTCATTGACTAAAATTACTCTTGCGCATACGTTTTCCTTGATCCAACGTATGAACAAGTCAAGTGGCCGAGACGGAAACCTTGTGCTACATTGCGTTAAGAATTCTTAATACTGTACTGCAAGTTTGCAATGTTGTTTTTGTCTCAAAGTTTATTTGGCCGAAAGTGTGTTCGGTGTGCACAGAGACTTGTTTTACAGGTGCTAAACAACTTGATCTATGGATTTAATTCACATTTATTGAATTGATTGGTAATCTAAAGAGGTATTTTGATCAGAATTAAGTCAGTAGTCAGTAATCACCTTCGATTTTTGTGTGTGACGAGTTTAATAATCAGTTTGAGCTATTGGACAACTTGTCACACACTCCCTTGTTTACCTTCACTTTCAGCTTCGTCCCGGCCAGACTGCAATAAGACTTCCGCTCATTATGTTATTTTTCCATTTCTTTTTATCTTAATTTTCACCAACACACCACACTTGAAACGGTTTTGGTCCTTAAGTGAACTCGGCGTCATTCCTGCAAAACAAACGCATGTTTTTCAAATGCTAAGCAAAGTGAACTTTCGATTAGTAGTCGCACGACAAACATTGATTAGAACGAAATCAGTTCAGTGAAAACGTTGTCAGTCAAGTTTTTAAGTAGTAGTAGCTTTAGGTTTACCGCTTCTGGTGAAGTTAGTGAACTTTGAAATATCGATTGCATTAAGTAGTATAGTAGTAACAGTACTAGTTTTTTTTTAAATTAGAATTACGTGAAGAATCGCCTCCTTTCAAACGAAAAGTGATGTAATTGTCTCAGTTTGACTATTGCTATGAGATCCACTTACGCCGAAGAAAGACACAATCTTCCCTGCGTGTCGAGTCATTTGTTTAACTTTATTTGGGTAAAAAAAAACCTGACAGTTTTGTACCACAACTAGCCGTTAGAACAGTCACACTTTCGTTATGTGTTAAAGAAAATCAAATAACTCGTTGAGTCATTTAATGACTTAGGGTGACGTAAGGACTTGAATGTTACAATATCATCACGAGGAAAGAAAATGTTTTCAAAAAAAAAAAATCACAGTCTATCAGAGTAAAATAATGTGTGGTTTCTTCTATGAAGGAAATTACAACAATAAATACCCTAATGTTGAAATGATCTATGGCTAGACACCATTTTTTAAAGGAAGTTATGGAAATACAGTAACATTGTAATGTACTGTCATGCAAGTATTTCAAGTATTTTCACCGATGCTTTAAATGGGAGTGCGCTTGTGTCACGTCATTTGGTGTGTCTGTGTTCTTCTACCTTGCTTACAGACCAAGTCAAGGTTACACCTTTTAGGATGTCAGATTTTCTCAAATTATTCTTTGCGTTTGCGAATTTGTTTTTGTGAATGCGATACAAGTACAGTATTTGCTAAAATGTTTAATTGTATTTGCGCTGATTTATTGCATGTACAGTATTACAATTTGCATTGACTTAAGGCATTCATCCATCCATTACCTCAATCACTTTACCCTCCCAAGCCGTCTTTCGTGAGTAGGCGGGGTGCACCCAATCCGTTGCCAGCCAATCGCAGGGCACACAGCTATTACAAATATTTGCTTTGATTTTTGTGCATATCGTTGGCAGAATCTTCGTACCTCCAAAATCATCACTTTTCAGGAGACCCCCAAAGAGTCATGTTTGGTCAGTCATCAATTTGGAATCATCAAAGCGAGCAAGCCATGTTTCATCACTGTAGATTGGTCATTGATTTTTTTTTTAGATGACAACCACACATGATGTCTGACCAATCGTAGAGACTTGTGAAAAAATATTAACTTTCCCAAATTCTGATGTAGGTGTTCGCACAACACATGCGTTGATTTAATGCATAATATTACAAATATTTGTGCTGATTTTGTGCACGTTCTACAGATATTTGCAAAGATGTACTTCATATACACTATGTAGTTGATTTTATTCAATGCATATAGTACCAAAAAAATTCTGTTATTTTCCGCGATTGCACTCATAATCCAAATTTATATATCATATATTTCAATTATCCATCTGCCCATCCATCCATTTTCTAATCCGCTTAGCCTCACAAGAGTTGCAGGCGTGCTGGAGCCTATCCCAGCTGTCATCGGGCAGCAGGCGGTGTAGTCCCTGAATTGGTCGCCGCCCTGAATTGTTCGCCGGCCAATCGCAGGGCACACTTAGACGAACGAACCATTCATGCTCACAATCACACGTAGGGACAATATCGAGTATTTCATTCGCCTACCATGCATGTTTTGGGGAATGTGTGAGGAAACCGGAGTACCCGGAGAAAACCCACGCAGACACGGGGAAAACATGCAAACTCTACACATTAAGCCGGAATCTAACCCTACCTCTGCACTGTGAGGGCGGTGTGCTCACCAGTCGACCACCGTCCCGCCCATATTTTAATTAAAAATTAATTTTTTGTTGTATTTTGTGATGGTGGCGCGTGTGCGTGCATGTATGTATGTGTGTGTGTGCGTGTGTGTGTCTCATGGCTCTCAGCTTCATCATGGCCACAGAAGAAGTTTATTCCTCGACGGTGGTGTCAAACCCGAATGCTGCCTGTTGCCTGGTGCCGTCACAATGTCTGGAAAAAGTGCGCTTCATCATCAAGCTCTTGGAAGTGGTGAGTCGGCTGTCCCGATTAGTAGACGGCTCAGTGTAACGTGTGGAGACGACAAGGTGGGTCTCTTTTACTTGAGGACTTTTACAAGGTTTGGTATCTTGCGTGAGGAATTCTAAATGGTTCAGTATAATGCGCAAGGAATTCTGCATGGTTGACGGCAGTGTGCGAGGACCTGTCGACGTTTGAGTGTCATCCGGAAAAATGACAAATTGGTAGGGCAAGCCGACAGAAAACATTGAAGTGTGGTTTCAGTGGCCTTGGCCAAGATTCGCCCTTCCTCCTGCGGCCTCTTGACAGGAAGTGCCCAGCGGGAAGTGAAAGTGCTGCCGTTAGCACATCGCCGTTAGCACATCGCCGTTAGCACAAACCTCCGTTAGCACAAACCTCCGTTAGCACAAATCTCCGTTAGCCCATCACTGTTAGCACAAATCTCTGTTCGTTCATCCCCGTTAGCATAAAACCTCCATTGGCCCATCTCCGTTGGCACAAACCTCCGTTAGCCCATCACCGTTGATCTATCTCAACATTTAACGTAGAATGCAGGAAACCACTCCAAAGGATTTATTCAGTCAGAATTATGAAAGTTGTCTTCACGTTAGTATGTCAAGGACTTTTCCTGCTCAGCCAAAGCACATATTTGACCTTTTCTGAGGTCTACAAACCTATATTGAGCAAGGATTGCTCCTTGGGATGAGAACCTTCCTTTGCCCCTTACTTTGCCAGCTGCTGTCACTGGTGGCGTTCTTCCTGGAGGAGATGGTCTACGTCTGCATCAACTGCGCAGCTCTGGAGTTCTTTGAGTTTGTCAGCTGCACGGCGTTCCTCTTCACCGCCCTGCTCCTCATCCTCCTCTACACTAAGCTGCACCGCCGGGTGGGAATCACCTGTTGGCCCAGCCTGGTAAGCTCCACGTCATCGTTATTGGAACATTGAACTGGAGAAGCAATTTTCTTCTCGCCTTCTCATAAAAAGTCTCACGGCACGCAACCGAACAAAATTGTAACAAAAAATTTAAACTGTGCGTAAATGAAGTTACGATCTTGGTCACGGAACAAATAATAAGAATAAGAAAATCTTTATTCGTCTCACCATGGAGAAATTCCCAATTTACAGCAGCAAAGTTATGAAAGGATGAAAGTAGAAGAACAAAAAGTATCGGAGCTGCTGTAAAGGCAGCCACTGTCGTGGCGCCATCTTGAAGTCATAATAACAAAATAATACAACACATAAGAGACAGACAGTCATTCAATCTTAACCACTTTTCTGCATAATCTTTGTTGTTTGAGGGACAGCTTATCATGTTATCTCGTTACAGGGCACATAAAAGGGTTAAACTTATAAATTAAGGTCACCCGCTAAACTGAAATATTGATCTAAATCATACAATTCCCATTCAAAGTCACTCCAGATTCTATAAAGTTCTTTTTTTTTTTCACAATGAGGAAATGACAAAAAAGTTTTATCAATGGCACAAACATGACAACGCCGTCAAATGTTGTGCCGTCGATGTCACAACCCATTCAAACATCATGTGACCACAACGAGGGGCCTCCCTGTCAGGACAAGAAGTCTTCAAGGAAAAAAAAAAAAACAAAAATGCTGAGTTGGCAACTTCCTAATGTTGCTTATTATATTCTTGCCATGTTTTATTTATTTCCTGCCTTTGCTTGCATTTTGCGCATAGGATACAAAAACATGCTGTACTTTCTAGCTTACCTGTTTTATTTCAAATATCCGCTTTGGATTAGTACTCAAAAGTATAGTGCAAATATTTGGTACATACAGTAAATATATAACACGAACAGCATGTACTGTACATTCATGAAAATACCGCAATGGCGATTGTTGTTGTGCTGCAGGACTTTGTGTACACGATGGTGATCGCCTTCTTATTCCTCATCGCCTCCATCGTGTTTGCTGCCATCAACGGCGGCACTACTCTGGAGAAAAGTGCTGTGGTATGGAAACACGTCTTTCCTTCCCTATTTCTTCTTTCCCCCCCCCCCCTCCCTTCCCAACCTTTCCTTTGCCATTGACATGTTTCATTCAGTGCATCCTTGTCTTAACTTACATTGTTGTGGCCTTCCCTGCTTCTTTCTTGATTGACTTAACTTTTCTTCCGCACCTCCTCGGCCTCTTCCCCATTTCCATCTTCCACTCCCCACCTTGTTTTTTTCCCTATTTCGTTTTCACCCCCAACGTCCTTCCCCGCCTTCCTTCATCCCCTCCCTGTCTGTCTTTCGTTCCCTAATTCCTTCTTTCTTTATCCACCTTTTTGTGTCCTTCCCAACCTCCCCCCACCATCCCATTTCCTTCCTTCATATTTCCTATTTGCATCCTCTCCTTCCTTTATTGATTAACTCACGATACTCCTCGCTTGATAGTGTTTCATTTGTTACTTTCTTCTATTCTTCCCTAGCCTAATTCCTTCTTTCTTTATCCTCCTTCTTGTGCCCTTCTTTCTTCTTTCATGATATGCCTCTTGGTTGGTTTCCCTCCTTCCGCATTTTGTTCCCTAACATATTCTTTCACTCTGCACCTTGTTTCCTTCCTTCCTTCCTGGTATTCCTGATTTTTTTTTTTCATACCCAACTTTGATGTTGCTTTCCCTACCTCTCTTTGTCTTTCCCTGTTTCCAACTTGTGTCCTTCACTACCACCTTCATTCATTACCTGCATTATTTCTTCCCCTACCTACTCCTATCCTTTCCTACTTCCTTCTTTCTTCATTCACATTCTTGTGTCCTTCGCAACCATCTCCTATCCTTCACCATTTCTTTATTTCATGCCTTACCTTCTGTGTGCCTTCGCTACTTCCTTATTTTGTATCCTAACACCTTCTGTCACTCCCTCCATCGTTCTTTCCTTCCGAACCTCCTGATTTATTTCCATACTGTGTTCTTTTATCCCTAACTTCTGCGTTGCCTTCCCGACTTCCTTCTTTCCATAGCTCCTTTTCTGTAATTCCTACCCATGTCATTCCCTACTGCCTTATTTCGCTCCCTATCTTTTTTTCTCTATTGTTTCCTTCACTACTTCTTTCTTTAATGTTTTGGAATGTTTCCTCTGGCAGGCATTTGGCTTCCTGGCCACATTTGCGTTCATGGCCGACCTTTTCCTGTTTTGGAGGAATCACGGGCTTCCCTTTCCCAAAGGGGACCAGGCGCAGTCTACTAATGGCATCCCAGCGGCAGAACCTGACCAGAAGGCTCCCGTGGAGACGGAGAAACTCAACTTGGACGCCGCAGCAGCCGAATGATTTTGTTTTGTTTTTCTGTGCTTTGTGTGCCCTATGAAAGGTCAAACATTTTTACACTTCAGGAGGCGCTCTCGTCTCCGATAGCTGGCATGAATTCCTCTCTTTATACTACTGAGGCCAGACACTCAGGAAATAAACAATCACTTTTCCACTCAAAGGAGACATATTACGGATGATTTTTCACAATTGAAAAGATTCCCCAGGTGTCCCAAGAAGCTTTTAAAGTGCTGCTCGTAGTGATTACATTTCATTAGGACCGCAGCATTTCACTTGTTGGTTGATGTCGGGGCTTGTCACAAATCCTGGCCAAGTACGCGTAACTTCAATCCTCATGTCAACAACACAGCCCAACGTTGCGCTGGTACTGGTGACATGTGTTGGCTAACGCTAATATGTGCGAACACTGCAGGCCTGCTTTGATATGGTGGTGCTTCTCCCACTGCCTCAGTGTGGTTTTTTTGGAACTTTTTTTTGCCTCGTTGGCAAGCCATTGGCTAACTGACTCTCTCAGTCACATTTTGTGATGTATTTGAGATAAAAGATTTTCTTGGTTGATTCATTTCGGTCTCGATTGCTGGGGAGACACTGCAACACCCAAATATTTGCATAGGTACATTATGTAATCAATTGTCCGTAATATGTCCCCTTGAATATAGTTTGTAAATATTCTGAAGATAGCTTGTAAGAACAGAAAGTGATGTTATCCCTTGTCATTTTTTTTCTCGTGTTTTCTGTCATGACAGTTAAACGGGATCATACAGTAACAAGCAAATGAAGATGCTTTGTGAAAAATGTTGACCGCCAATAATAATTAAATGGATTCTTATTTTTCATGTGGGCTGGGACTGATGAAAAAGTAGACAATCAAATATAAGATTTGTTTTTTTCTGATGAAATGGCTCCACTTTGTAATATTGTTACTAACAGACAATTCTAGAATGTTGTTTCCCCTTAAACCTTACACTGATGCATTGCTTGGTTGAAACTCGGCTAACACTCTTCAAAACTTGAATCTCTCTGTGTCAAAATGCTAAGATGTCTTAATGTTTGGGTGTATAAAGTTATGATGCAAAATGAAAGAGGTTGTAGAATGATTGTGGACTTTGATCATTATAAACGCACTCCTCTTAACTCTCTTGGCAGTCAAGCAAATGGTAAATGAGTAATTTGTATTTTGTTTCCAAACCAATTTTCTATTGGTTCAACATCTCAGGTGTTCAGTCTGATTGGTTCCAACAAAAATATCTATTAAAATTGAATTGAATTGTATCCCAGATAGGATGTGGACTGCAAATGATGACGCAACACAATCTAAAAAGCGGTTAGACTTGGTACCCAATGATGATCAATTCTTTTACTTTTAATGCTCGATAGTGTGTTCTGTATTTGAACATGTTATCCAGACATGTGCCACACTTGCAATTGTGTCAAGATAAAGTGACAACTCACTTGGTTCTATTTTCACAGCATTGATCTTTGCAAATTTCTGTCAGAACTAAAATGTCTTCTACTTCATTGGTTTCCCTCACGATATGATAAAATAACCATCTATCGAGCTCGCCAGTTTATTATAAATAACTACATTTCCCACAATGCAACAAGTCTCGCAACTCGCGAGAATTTGAAAAGTAAACACTGCGCCTGCGCAGTAACGGCGGAGCGGTTGCTCGGATCAGGGCGGCGGAGGAGAAAGACAAACGCAGCGAACAAAAACACACACAATGGCGACGGCGGCGACCACGGCTAGCGGGCCGACCACCGGCCCCGTCGGCGGCGGCGGAACCGCGGTGGGGCGCAAGAAAGACGGCGGCCCGTCCGCCAAATTCTGGGAGTGTTCCGAGACCATATCCCAACTGGAGACGGTGCGTCTGTGGATCGGCAAGCACTACAAGAAGGTGAGCTAGTTTAGCTTAGCATTTCACCCCATTGATTCCAATGAAGGCCCGCGGCGCGCTGACAATGGAGGACCGATGCGAGCTTATTCAAAAACCGTCAACTTTGTGGGTTAAAGGGCTTTTATTTGCTGTTTGTTGGAAGCAGCCAATACCAGCGGTCTATGTATTGCTGCTTAACATGGCTCACACCAAGCATGGCTTTTAATGATGCACTTTTTATCGAACAATTGTTGTCATACATTGTAAAGCTAACCCGCGAGCACCCTCTGTTTAATGTTCTTAAACTCGCATCATTTACACTGTAGAAATTGAAGTGTAAAGTGTCAAACTGTCTGCTAACGCCTCACATTGTAAGCGACATTGTCAAATAACCATAAATTGCCAAAGCAACAAATAATACAGATTACGCAAAAAGTCTCAATTCATGCCTGATTTTGTTTTGATTGATTATTTTTGAATGTCGAGTGTAAATGACAATTTGAATCCAAAGGCGAAATAACGCATCGCACTGCGTGTCAGTCATGCCTTAGTTTTCGGGGGAACTGGGGGTGCTTTGAGCAAAAAAAAAAAGTGTCTCTATATATTTCAGTTTTTCAGGTATTCCATGAGGGTAGGTATTTTGCTTTAATGTAAAATGTGTGTGTGTGTGTGTGTTGTTAGTACGTCCAGAATGACTCGCCCTCCAGCAAGTCTCTGGCTGGCCTGGTGGTGCAGCTGCTTCAGTTTCAGGAGGATTCGTTTGGACGCAAAGTCAACAATCCCGCTCTCACCAAGCTGCCGGTACCACCTCTTACCTCCATCTTGACTGTCCATGATGCTGCTCCTGGTCTCCTCAATGTTCATTTTCTTCCCCCAAGGCCAAGTGCTTCCTGGACATGAAAGCGGGAGGTGCTCTCTGCCACATCCTGGGCTCCGTCTACAAGTTCAAGAGCGAGCAGGGATGGTGAGTTCATGGTTTAAATTTTTCACTCGGGATGCCAGTAAGGTGCACATCCACCTTTCACATATGCTCTCCACTACTATCGGCAGGCGACGCTTTGACCTTCAGAACCCTTCCCGTATGGACAGGAATGTGGAGATGTTCTTGAATGTTGAGAAAAACTTGGTGCAGGTATGTCCTTGTGATACGGCTGGATGATAATTGAAACCCAGTGAAAGGTAATAGAAGAGTCGATCATGCAGAACTTTGCTGAAGACACATTGCCCATTTATACATCGCATGAGCGAGCAGTCATTAAGTCAATGGAAGTAACTTTTCTCTGAAGGTATATTCTTGCAAGCAGCAAATGTTTTATTTTGCTGGAAACAAAACCAGTGAAATTAAAATCTGAGCAATGTGTGTGTCTGTGTGTGTAAGGGGTGGCGTTTATTTGCCCAGTCCTAAGTTGTAATTGTCACAAAACAAAATTAAGCCATTGTCTTTTTTAATGGCATTCTCATTTGACCGTGTTCTTCCAGAACAACTGCCTGACCCGACCCACCGTCTACTTATCTCCTGATATGGAAGCCAAGCAAGCCAGTAAGCTCAAAGATGCCATTAAGAGGCACCAGGTGAGCATCATGTGGCCACATCGCATCCACACTGTCACCTTTTGCCCCTTCTATAACTTTTATCCTCTTCTTCTTGGAGGGTTCCATAACTGAGGACAAGTCTAAGGCTACACACCTAATTTTCCCATCTCCGTCGCAGCAAGATGAAGGTTGGCTGTCCTCCAGTTGTCTTTGTTGTTGTTGTTGATGTTGTTTGTTTGTTTTTTTTTCTAAATCTTTTATTTTGAAATGGTGGATTCCAGAAGAATGGCTGCGTCCCGTCATGAGGAAAGATAAGCAGGTTCTGGTCCACTGGGGACTCTATCCAGACAGGTGAGCATGAACGAGGACTTGTGGAATCTCACAAATGTCCATAAGTTCTGACGTTAAAAAGTCCCTTCTCGTCAGCTACGACACCTGGATGGCAGCCGGCGAAGTGGACGGCGACGTGGAGGAGCCACCTAGTGCCGACCGACCGTGGAAGGTGAGCGTGAACGACAAAATGTTTTGAAGAAATTACAATGCACATCAGATACAGTTTCTCTGCCATCTCAAATCAGTATTGCACTGTATAATAACATGCAGAAAAAAGACATTTGACAAAACACCTGCACAAAATAAATCAAAATGCAAGCGCAACAGATTTTCTCTGCAAGGTAACAAACGTGACCTGAGGGTGGTCAAATGTGAAGTTTGAAGTTTACCCAAAAGTAATGTGTAAAACAGCCCCCCCACCAGCTCTTTAATGGCTTTTTCCCGTGTGGAGTTACACAGGTGAGGCAAGACGAGCTCAGTAAAATATTTGCAACTTAGCCATACAATACCTTAAGGCAAACGCTTCCCAGCTCCTTTCGGTCATATTTCAAAACAGTGTGAAAATGATTCCACTCGAATTGTTTTTTTCACTCGTCACTTTTTTTTGGGGGGAAAAATAGTCACTGGAGGGAGCTGACAACACTTGCTGTGCTTTGGAAACTAGCTTCTCTGTGTTCTAAGTAGGGCTGAACATTTTTGGAAAATAACGTAATTGCCATTTGAAAAAAATTCCCCTCAATATTGAGATTTAATATGCAATTTTTTTTCAAGGTCTTCTTTCTATGCATTTTTAACACAAGCAATAAATCAATCAGTGGTACAAAACATTGTCACATTCAGGATACATACATGTAGAGGTGCAGCAAATAATGGACAACTAATTGATTATCAACTGAAATGATAATTCACTTGTTATTTTTAATAGTCGATTGATTGTTCAGATGCCTTTTTTAATTTAAAGTCCAAATGCTTCTCCGTTCAGCATCTAAACGATAAATTTGATTTCTGTGGTCCTCCTTGAAAGCAGACTAATTATCATTGAATCAAATGCGATACATTTAGTTTTACTTTAGCGGCATTTTTTGCCAATTTTCCTGACAGATTTTCGAGAGCTATATTGATTATGAAAATAATTGTTAGTTGCAGCTCTACGTAAATGTTTTCTTTTAGGTTAGGTTTACGGTACGATACAGACAAATGATCCATGAATTATTATGAGCAACAGTTTATCAACTTCAATTAGTTGTCAATTTACTAAACGTTTTGACTTGCAATCTGAAGCGTTCATTACGAAAATGTCACAAAATTCTAAAAAGTGTGGCGTGAACACAGGTCAATGTTGGACCGCACGTGTGCCATAAGAATGAGAATGCAAATATGCCCTCAACCTCAGGTCCATGCCAGGTGGGTCCTGGACATGGACGCATTCAACGAGTGGATGAATGAGGAAGACTACGAGGTGGACGACAACAAGAAGCCCGTCACCTTCCGCCAGAAGATCTTCCTGAAGGAGGAGGAGGTAAATGTTACGGAAATGTCACATTTTGCTTATTGTTTGGTGGTTGTTCCTTGCATGGGACGCTTGGGAAATGTCGTCTTGCATGAAGCTGCCCTGTCTGTTTCTATTTTTGTCTGTCTGTCTGTATTGTCTGTCGTCATCCTTCCTCACACCTTTTCTCTTCTTCCAAAGCACCTCGGGGTTTCTGTTCATGTTGATGGAAAGCTCTTGATTGTGCTCAGGCACTTAAAATTCAGAACAATTTGTCTTTGTGAGGGTAGAATCAATGTTTATATGTATGGACACAGTCTAGAAATAGCAATGATGTTTAAAGGCCTGTATTGTGGTCCTAATTTTGCACTTTTTGGGGTAATATTGGTTCATTCACAATTAAAAAAAAAAATTCATCTATTTAATCAAAGTATGGGTAATTAATTCATTGTAAATAAACATACATTGAACATTTACCGATTTACTGAATAATTGATGAATTACAATTACATTAGTTATGAATGTAAAATGGAAACGAATCAATATTGTACTATTTTAATTATGATATTAACTTTTATTCATTATATATTGTGTATTATGAATAAAAATGTAAATCGCGATATTGTAAATAATGTTACACAAAAATAACATCACAAACAACAAAAAATAAAAATACAACATAAATCATGTTTTTTGTTTCATGAAATTATATTTTATTATTTTACTTTTTTTGGTAATCGATTTATCAAACAGTATAATTTATAGTAAATGACAAAATACAAATATTAAAAACCTTTTAGCCATTTTGTATTTGTTTTATGAATGAATCACAATTATATGAATTGTAAAAGAAGGAGTGAGAGTAGCCAGGAACTCTGCTCATGGGTCCACGCCACTGCATCCTCCTCCCCTACCTCCTCCCCACCTGTTGCACCTCCCCATGTGTGCGAACGTTCCATTCTCTCATTCTGCCACTCTTTTATCTCATCCTCCATCCCTCGCTCCCTCCGCGCCGCACGGGCGTTTGTCTGATCAGTCGTCTTCCCGTACGCCCGATCGCAAGGAGCGCAAGGCCAATTCGGCCAGCAAGAAGAGGAGGCGCTCGCCCTCGCCGCCCAGCACCCCCGCCGAGTCCCGGAAGAAAGGTGGAAAGAAGTAAGTAAGCGACATACTGCGGTTATGCGCCATGTCAGCCATAGACATCGAAAATAAATAAATCCAGTTTGGGTGTGGAGTCACATGCAAACGGCCCTGCTGTTGAGTGTGGAAAGTACCCCATTCGTTTATCTCTGATTTCGCAACCATTTCATACTCAAAGCCAGATCTCATGAGATTAAGACTGTGAGACTGTGAATACTGTCAATGTCGTGTAAATGTATTTGGCCATCATATTTATCTACACTGGTGCCTTGGCATAAAATTGTTTTGTCCTGTTTTGACTGTCTGGCCATCATGAGCCACGTTATGGTGGCCCTACTAGAACCGGCCCTGTATATTCATGATGTAACGGAATACATTTCACAGATTTTTGAAGCCTTTTCAAAGATATTACTTCTGCATATTTTTTTTTTCGCAAACATTTCTAGTGATCAGAATAAAAGCTTTGTTGTTTTTGGTGCCTATCAGTTTCTCAAGTATGTTAGTATGTGTTTGAATGAGCAGCATTACAATTTTTGCCCTTGCAAGGTTGTAGCTTTATGAAGTTCGCTCCATTGAATTGACATTCAACCTAGTGACCGCGACTCAATCAGATGTCTGTGACGGCAACCATCAACAAGTCATCTAAGATACTGACATCTACTTCCTATTTTAGGAGCCAGGGACATTACTGGAAGCGTCGAGGACACCGCGGCGAAGAGGATGACACGGAGGATGACGTCACCAAGGACCTGGACGACTCGTCTACTGGTGCGAGCATCGAGGAGGGAAGCATTTCTAAGAATGGCACGTTCCAAAATGGAGTGGTGGTGTTTGTTTGTTAGTTTTTTTGTTGTGTTGCGTGATTGCGTTCTTGACACACCGTGCTGTCTTGTGTCCACACAGCCCATTCAAAGAAAGATGCCGAGAGCACGCCTCTTAAAGGGGACAACGGTGCAGACATTGGTATGTGACAGCAAGGCATCACTTCCTAAAACACAAAAAAATATATATCTAACGTTGTTTGTGCTGCTTTCTCTCTGGAGATGACATGGAGGATGACTCTGTGCTGTCCGGCGGGAAGGTAACGATTTATTTCTGCAAATGCTATTGAAATATCGTCATTTTTATTATCTAAATGATCACTTTGTGTTCAGGACGACGAGGACCAGAACAAAGCAGACATGAGCCGCCTGATGGATGCCGGTGAGGACAACGTGACGGAGCAGACGCATCACATCATCATCCCCAGCTACAGTGCCTGGTTCGACTACAACTGGTGAGTCGGCGACCCCCGAAGGCCTCGTGAACCTTGGACTGTTCTTCAAGCGTCAGGCGGTTCTCTCCTCTCCTTTCAGCATCCACGAGATAGAGAGGAGAGCCCTGCCAGAGTTCTTCAATGGGAAGAACAAGTCCAAAACTCCAGAAATGTGAGCATTGAAACATGCAGCAAAATTCGCACAACAATGCATGCTTATTTCCTTAAGTCATGTTTTTAGGGAGAATGAAGTAGAAGAAGTATAAAGTTAGATTCTTTGTTCCTTTTCAAGTATTATTGGTGTGAGAATGAAGTCATGTCTTTTTTGTAAGAATTCATATTTTGGGAGAATTTTTTTTCCAAAGGAAAAAAAAAATACACTTTTGAAAAGACACATTTATTTTAAAAAATGGAAATCTATTGTACTGTTAAATAGAACTGAATGCTACTGAAAAGAAATTGGGATTATGGATAGCCAGATTAAAAAAAAAAAAAAAAAAGGCGTTCAATCCACACTGCAAGATGATGATCCAGAAGTGGTATGCACAATTTTTAATATTTAATTTAGTGATTCTTTCACAAACCACCAGAGGGAGCCCCACTTACCGAACTGTTGAGAATCACTGAGTTGTGGATAAATTGTTGTCAAGTATACGTTAAAAAAAAAAAAATAGCTTACATTTATGTCCCCTTATTAAACAAGCAATGACATTATGATGACAGCGTCTGCTCGTTTTCTTTTTTTTTCTCTACATTCCCAAACAGATACCTGGCTTACCGCAACTTCATGATCGACACTTACCGCCTCAACCCCCAAGAGTACCTCACCTCCACCTCTTGCCGCAGGAACCTGACGGGCGACGTGTGTGCCATTATGAGGTGAGTCTGTGTATTGTGAGGCAAAAGTACAAGAGTTGTGATGTGAGCAGAGCAGTACTTTTTTTTTTTAATTTTTTTTTTTAAGAAAAAAGGGCATTTCTAAGGATTTTTACAATAATCAGGTCTTATTTAATTATGGCATTTCTTCTATAATATTAAAACTTCTATTCTCATCATATAATGTCCCTAATATTTGTTAGTAAATGCCGAAGTGTCATATCTTATGCAGGGCTCATGCTTTCTTGGAGCAGTGGGGCTTGGTGAACTACCAGGTGGACTCAGACAGTAGACCTTTGCCCATGGGACCCCCACCCACCCCCCACTTCACCGTCCTGGCCGACACACCCTCTGGCCTCATGCCCCTTAACCACAGACCTCCACCGGTAAGCGTGTAGTGGAGCGGGAAGCGGGTGGAGGCGGCGAGGGGCAACGGCGTGACTTTCTGCGTACGTATGCTTTAATGTTGCAGATTCCACCGCCGCAGCAGATGGCCAACTTCTCTGACAAGATGAAAGATAAAGCCATTGACCTCCAGAACTTTGGCCTCCGCACCGACCAGTACAAGAGGAACTCAAAGGTCTGAAACGCTAATCCGCAAACATGTAAATTCCCTCAAGGTAATGAAAGTGACACATGAGCCTGAATCTCCGCAAAGTGATCCTGAAGTCTGTGATCTGAAATCTGCCATTCTGCAGATTGGCGGTACTTTCTTCAGAAACTTTGATTCTTTCTGTTGTAATGTTAATCACATTACTGTACATTTTTTATTAGGTGCAATAATATAGTTTCAAAAAAAAAAAAAGTGACATGATTATCCACGGAGAAATACATAGTCATAGCACAAGCGTTTCTTCCACAAGGTAACGCAATGTGCATCACAAAATTAAAAGTACAACGTTTAAAAGCATATACAGAGTTAAAAGATATTTTCAAAGCAAAGTAATGAAATCAGGTTGTTTATTATGTTTTGCTGCTTTCAGGGTAAATCAGTGGCGTCCTCTCGGGAGTGGACCGAGCAGGAAACTTTGCTCCTGCTAGAGGTCAGTTCCTCACCGTTTACATTTTAAACATTTCTTTACATCACAATTATCGTGACCAAATTGCTCTTGGTTATCCTTATCAAGATGATTGTTAAAAGAATTCTTTTGTGCTCACGGGTAATTTTGATTGTAAAAATGGACAAATCATTTGTTGATGAGTAAAAAAGGAAATCCATTTTATTATACAAGTGTATTTTATTTTATTCATAAAATAGCATTCCAGTCTTTTATTTATATTTATAATTCACATATTTTAAGAAAAAATTGACATTTTAGGAAAAATTGTACAAATGAATACTCTGTTACAAGACTCTTCATAATACTGTAATGTGAATTCTCCATGAGCTGGGTTAGAGATCGGATTGTTTGCCCAGCCCTACAGAATGCACACAGGAAGACGGACGAGCAGGCGATAAGCAAATGAAGCAACTTAAATGTATGTTTTGGGCAGGAATAATTTTGGGGATTGTTAACAATTATTCAAGAATTTTAAACTACGATGCCAACTGTTTGAAATTGAAGTAGTAGACCAAATCTGGAGCTCCTATTTTCATATGCGCAGCCACTAGAGGGCTGCAGATTGCAGCAGAGCGTTTGTTTGTCAGAAGTGTGTGTGTGTGTGTGTGTGTTCATATTTGCTACGTTCACCAGTGGATTAAAACCACAGAGCAGATGGCGTAAGGGAACACGTGGGGATGGGGGTGTTGCTGCAGGAAAATGGGTCATTGCACATCATGTTTTTCCCCCC